CCCCTTTCAGTCCCATTTGCTTCTTTTCACAACCTATCCATTTTTTTTTTTAAAGTGAGGGTTTGATTTTTTAATATATAGTTGACATACAATGTGTTAGTTTCAGGTGTACAACGAACTATCAATTCCCCCCCCCCCCCACTAATTTGCTGCCTCAAATATACATTCCATTGAAACTGCTTATTTTAGATGGAGCCCTATGTTCTGAGGCTTACAAGCTAGTTGGGCTGATAAGCTTATTAGTACAGCTGCTAGATTAGTACAACAAGCAATATTATAGTACATTACTTTGGCCTCTTAACCGCAGTTTCATGTTCAGTGGTTTGTTGCCTGCAGTTCAAAAGTATTAAATGGAAAATTCCAGAAATAAACAATTTAGTAGTGTGATAAAATCTCATGCCATCCTGTTTTCTTCCACCTGGTACATGAATCATGCGTTTGCCCAGTGTATCCTCGTTGTATGTTACCTGCCCGTTAGTCACTGGCTGCCTAGATTATCAGGGACCACATTCACATAACTTTTATCTATATATATATGTGTAAGCAACCGTCCGACCTGTAGTTATGATGCGCACTGACCACCAGGGGGCAGATGCTCAACGCAGGAGCGGAAACCACAGGCATGGAAACATGGAACGGACTGATGAATCTCAGAGGGGATGGGGGAGGTTGGGAAGAGGTTAACCAAAGATCTTATATGCATACTAGAGGTCCAATGCATGAATCATGAAAGAGTAGGCCAGCCCCCACAGCCCTGGCTTCATCTGGAAGGTGGTCCAGATGGTAGTTCTGCTGTCCAGCCATTTGATTTGCATATTACGTTTTTATTATTATAGACACGTGGTGCACAGATTTGTGCACTGGTGGGGTCCCTTGGCCTAACCTGTGCCCTCTCGCAATCCGGGATCCCTCAAGGGATGTTGGAGAGCCGGTTTCGGCCCAATCCCTGCAGGCCGGGCCGAGGGACCCCACCAGTGCACAAATCCTTGCACCTGGCCTCTAGTATTTTATAAACATGGTAGTAACTACTAAGCAGCTACAGTTTGAGATGCTATCACTTCCATTTCTCAAGTTAAAAACTCCTGATTTTCCCTCCTCATTTCTATCATTAGCAAGGGAATTATTTACAAGTAAAAACAATGTTAACAGTTGACTTACTACACATCCAAACAAAACCGGGCACCAAGTACCACTGATTTTTCTCAGATGTGTAAAAGAAAAATGTTCAAAAAAGCCCTCAGGGACTCCCATTGCTGGCAGAACAAAAATCAACTACTTTGCATAGCCTGCAATGTTTCTCCCCGGAGAACTTCTGTCTCCTCCTAGTTTTCTCCCTTGCTGCAGTCCTGTAAACTAACCCTGACAAGCCAAGGGACTTAGTTAAAGCTTAAAGCCCAAAATACTTGCCACCTTCTTATCATTATTCCTGTCTTACTCATTCTCATGTATCTAGCACTCAATAAATGAGAAATGACTTATTATGTCTAAATTCATGTAGTTAAATATGTGTGGATTGGCACTGTAGTTTCATTTTAGAAATTTCCAACGATATATATATGCTTCCACTGTCTAGCAATTAAAAAAAATTTTTGGACTATGACACACAGTAAAAAATTCATTTTAAATTGTAACCCACTATACACACATATTTATACATATGAAAAAATATTCACCAAGTATTTACCTTTATTACATTCTATGTACTTGATTATTCCATTCTGTTTTAAGAAAATAATTGGACCATAACTCACTAACAGTTTTCTTGATACCTAGCTGGGCTACAACCTAGTTTGAAGAACAATAAACTGGAGTATTTCAAGCTCTTAACTATTCAGAGAGTTATGAAGGACAGTATAGTGGGGTTAAGAAAAACAATCAAACAAGCACATTTGTCCATAATATTTTAATACTTTTCCACTTTTAAATACTGGTTTTAATTTTGCGATTGTAACATGGAAGATCCAACTTTATTATTTTTTTTAAAAAAAACATCATCAGGATCATAAAGCTATTATAGAATAGTTACACTCTATACACTCCCAAGGTACTTTAAAATGATTATGTTTTGAGTTTGTAGATGAACAATAACAATAATCCACATACATCGTCTGTATAACTTGGACTAAATACTGGAGAAAATGTTTAATTGGACAAACAACTGATAAGTTTAAAGATAACCAGCACAATTTCACAAGAACCAGCTCAGCCCTACTAAAAACTTCTCAAAGCAATCGACACTGATGTTGTGTAAGTGTACAAATTAGTTGATGAAACTGAACAAATGGGAAACCTATTCTTCCTTTGCCTTATTTTGTATCCTAACACCTCTCTCAGTCAACCTCCTCCTAGGCCTGGCTGCCCTTGTGGCGATCCCAAACCAAGGGCTGCTATGATCACCCTCCACCTCAAAACCACGCGTCCTGAATTCTAACTGAAACACTATGCTCTTTCTCTTCAACTGTAGGGTGGGCACTCAGGGAACAAAATCCCTTATCACCAATGTTTTTAAAGTTTCTATCATAGTACAAAAAGAGTAACTGAGTAGAAAAAAGAGTAAAAAGATATTTTTTTTTTGGCTTGGGGAAGAGAAGTAGAAAATAACTATGGATGAGAAAACATCATGTATATTCAGAGTATGTAGGAATTAGCCAGACGGAATTCTAGAAGGTTTGAAAATTGTCTAAAGGGCTAGTACCTATCCAAATTATAACCTGTTTTAAATTCTTTTCATACTCTCCTACTCATTTCTAAATCTGGTTGGACAGGATTAACTCTAGTAAAGTACCAGTGCAGTTATCTAAAGGTAAAATGTATCTTTTTCTTTTCCTTTTTAATACAAATATTTTAGAGTAATCATTTTATTTACAGAATTGCAAAAGTATATCATTAACATTTAGTGCAAATGCAACTAATGATCATTAGATTTAGATACTGCTTTGTAAACTTTCCATACCTCTGTAAAACAAAGCTATTTAATTTAGTTACGAAAGAGTTACTTGTCTGTGTTCATGATAATTACTAGAAAAAAATGGCAAACAGAGAAACATTTATAATGGGCATAGAGAACTTTTTTTGAAGATTCCATCAGCATCTATGGTGAATATACCTTCCCTCCCCAACCCTCCCATACTCCCACACCCTGACCCACAGCTGATTGTAAAATAAAATACACATTTGAGGTATAAACTTTTCTTTTTTTAAACATCATAATATAAAATGTTAACTGGTGATGTAGTAAACTGATAGAATTTGTCTTATTTGCCTTATTAGCATTACCACCATAGGCACTTTTCCACGTAGTCAAATTATGAACAGCATTTTTCTATAATAAGGCATATTCCATGCACATCATTTAGAGAAAAGTAAATTAAAAAATAGAAAAGATTTATGGAGCATGAAATCTGCGTGCATGTAATGTAAGCATATGTTTTATATGTATTTCCTCTCTGTACAGAATAATAAATACCACTACATTTGATGCAAGTAATTCACCTCCAGGATTGTGCATATGAAGTGACCAGACTAATCCCATCATTAAATTATCACCTTGCATTTATCATTAAGACTCCAATACCACATATGAAATATATACAAGACATGTTCCACGTGACATGACTTTCTGCTTTACAAAACGGGTTGGATTTCTGTGTTTCTACAGAGATGAGGAAGTCAGCAAAGCATCTATAAAATGCCTCTGATTTATGCAAGCACGTTTGTGTAGAAACATAATGAAGATTTTGAAGTGGGCAATCATTTCTACTTTGATGAGTATAATTCCTTGCCTCAACTTCATGCTTCACGGTTTTTCACAGAGGCCTAAAACTAATAAAACTAAAAAAGGATTTAACATTTAAGTTCTTATAGCCACTAAGGAAAGAATTTCAGTCTGAATCACATGGAATACGTTAAAGCTCTGCTGAAGTTTCTGATCAAAAGGCAAACAGAAGCACTGCTCACATTTCTATGCATATCTTGCAATATATCTTTTAAACTAACCCAAATTAGAAAAACTAAAAAACATACCTGTTACTGAGTCCTAAAAATATTGAATCAAATGTCAAACTCAGTCTGATTTGCTTTCACAATAACTGCATATCCTCTTACAAATTTCATTAAAAATTCTGAGTTCATTTTATCCTGACCGTTTTTCCAGAAAGCAGTTTATACCCACAAGATTTATACAGATGTTTCTGTTCAAAGGCAGGCAGAACCAATTTAGAAATTGCCAAATTCTGTTTCTAACAAACTGAAAAAAAAGAAAAAAGCTATAGTGTACAGAATACAACTGAAAATACAGGAACTATAAAGATAACTGGGGTTGTAGGAGGTGGGAGAGGAATAAAGCTTTTCATTCTTTCTCCATCAGAACAAAGGTTCTTCATGGGAGTAAGAATATAGAAAAGGCAAAATCACAGGTTATTAACAGCCCTCAGTTATTAAGAGACACTTTACATTACTACATGAATCAGTACAGAAATCAGCAGCAATGAATTCTATGATTATACAAGCAAAAAAAAAAAAAAAAGGCTGAAAAATTCTAGACACAGACTGAACTGCAGGCCTGAAAAAAGAGCCCCGTCCAGGTATTTGGTGCACAGAAAGCACACGCCCCATGAGCATCCCACTTTCGTGCTTTTCTTTTGTGCACAAAACCTGATACAACTGAGGATCTTAGGCTGGACCGTGTACTAAATTAAAAATTCTGAAAAAGTTTCCAAAAATTAAAGCATCAATTCCTAGTTGTGATTCAAAGTTGATTTTTCTCTCTTTTAGGAGCAAGCAAATAAAAATATAGCCATGTTCATGTAATTTTACATGTATTTATAATTATAGCTGAGCATGGAGGTCTAGCGGGCGACAGCTAGGGTTAGACGTTCAGCTTTGCTATTGCAACATTTCTTCATTTTTGTACACAAGGTCAAGGTGTTGGGCCATAGACAAGGCTGTAGATCCTACGTTCCAGCTTAGAGCATTCAATTTGTGTGTATGTGTTTTTTTTAAAGTTTTCCCTCCAACATGGAATGTCACACAGCCTTGTTTCAGTCACTGTAGGAAAAAAAATGACAAGTTAAAAATTCAGCAATATATTGCTAACAACTGCAAGACTACCAGAATAGATTCCCCCTACCCTCTGAATTCATGGAATGCATAGATTCTCTCTTAAAATTTATCTTTAAAGGATTTTCAACTTTAAGAATATAAAACTGTTCATCAGAAGGAACAGAAAGTATAAGGAATCTCTGAAAGCTAGAAATGTAAAAGGGTAATGTACTTACTACAGCTAAACCAAGAGGGAATCAACCAAAGGTCTCTGGATTTGTACCCCACAAACTGGCATTTCCTTCTTGGCATTCGATAAAAATTATGCTATGTAATTTTTCAAGAATTTTAAAAATTTACTTAGGCTATGAAAAGACTTAAAAAACAAACAGGCACAGACATCATCAAATGTGTTTAAGACATCTGACTACGAGTTTTGAAAATCTTTGGACCTTATGGAATTTCTCTAAAGACGATGCTGATTAATGACAGTTATTTTTCCATCACCAAAGTTAAGAATGTTAGTTTTCTTAAGGCTACAGTGCTAGAATCCACTTCATAGATACATCTTCATTATTATGAAACAAACATTACTTTAGGTGAACAAAGATTTTTACCACAAGTTAAGGTTAGAATTTAGGTTCTTTGTCAGAAAGAAGCTCAATCTGGATTCAAGGCCAGTGCTAATTGTTGGCCAGTGAGTCTTTTTCTTTATTTCTATCTTTACATACATAAACAGAGGTCCATAAACAATGTTACCTCCTCCCCCTTGAATTTTTTTCCCAAGGGATTTCAACCACTTCCCTCCTAGGTCCACTAAAGAAGAATGAGGACACCGCCCTCTCTTCCCCCCACACACAGTCAGTCAATAAAACAATGCTCCAAATCAAAGTTTAGAGGCAAATGCTAGTAATGTGTGAGTTGTATATTTGAAATGTTTAAGAAATTAGTCCTCTCAAACATAGTTGAGAGCATGTTCTATACAGGGGTGGGCAAAATAAGGTTTACAGTTGTTTGTATGGAAAAGAAGACAATATTTAATAAATACGTAATATAAGAATAAACTATGTGTTTTGCATACTCCCAAATGTAAACCTACTTTTGCTCGACTCTGTATGTAACTGCATTCTGATTTTATCCTGCTTAATACATGGTTATATTTTCTGCCCTGCTTAGTAAGGCTGGGTGTGGGGGTGAAGAGACAAAGCAGATAGAGTTGAATATTTAGTCTTGGTTAGAGCAAACAGCAACTTCTTAGAAATCTTTAGGGAAGGTGACAAGTCTACTGCCATTGTGTGGCATCAGGTTTCTGGTTTGACAAATATGGTGCAGAAATTATGTGTGCAGATCTAGTCATAATAATCTTAAGTACAAAATAGTCTAAAAATAGTCAGCACATTTATGCAATGCACTTATGCCTGAAGAAAGAGAATTCCTCAAAGGTCAGGCTGTATTCCAAAACACTAACCATTCAGATCAGTAAAGCCAGAATCTGTTTAACATTTTCAGGTCACCTTTTTCCTGGGAAAATCTAAATATCCAGGACATCAGTGCAATAATAACCCTTGTGTTAGCATCTGATAATAGATTTAGCTTTTCAAGTCTTTTTAAAAAAGACATACTATAGCCCTAGCTGGCTTAGTGGATAGAGCGTTGGGCTGCAGACCAAAGGGTCCCGAGTTCGATTCCAGCAAGGGCATGTACCTTGGTTACAGGCTCCTCCCTGGCCTGGGCCCTTGTCAGGGCTCATGCAGGAGGCAACTAATCGATGTATTTTTATCACATCAATGTTTCTCTCTGTCTTTCCCTCCTGCTTACACTCTCCCTAAAGATCAATGGAAAAATATCCTAGGGTGAGGATTAACAAAATAAAACAAAACAAAAAGATATACTATAGACAGCTTCAGAAACCAGATTTAATTAAAGACATCAGTCATATGATTGACTATATTATTTTTATCTACTCAAGAATATATATTTCTCAGCTAATGATTTAACATTCGGTATAGAAAAGAATGAGAAGATGTTCATGTATACTTACTGCCTGTAACTTATACTTTGGTAATATCTATTACAAATTTTTTTTCAGTTGATTTCAAAGAGGTAGGGAAGGAGATAGAAACATCAATGATGGAGAAACCAAGATGGCGGCATAGGTAAACACCAGAAATTGCTGCCTCGCACAGCAACTTAAAAAATTCAAATAAAAGACAAAACGGACATCATCCAGAACCACAGGAAGGCTGGCTGAGGGAAATTCTACAACTAGAAGGGAAGAGAAAAGCACACTGAGACTCAAAGGAGGTGCGGTGTGGAAGTAAAGTGCAGAGGTACCGAGGCACATGCAGAAAGGGCTGGCTCAATCGGGAGGGAGTCTCAAGCTCCTGACTGCTCTGAACTCCAGTTCCGGGCATGTCTCTGGGGACCCAGACTCATACAGGAGAAACTGGACTGTCTGGCATCGGTCAGAACTCGAGGGCGGCTTTCTCTCAGAGGTGCTTGCAGTGATTGCTGGGACACTGAGAAGTGGGGCCTCTTGGGGTAGGACTGAGGAGCAGCCATAGCTGCTTGCTCCGCCCCATTGATGCCCAGAGACCCCGCCCCACCCAAGCTGTGCACAGAGGCTTTTGCATATGAAAGGCCTGGCCCTTTGCAATCTGAAAATTAACTAACAAACTGCAGCTGAGCCAGAGAAACCCAGAACTTCCAAAAGAAGACCCAAGGCCCCACAGCAGCTTGCATTGCTTCACAGCTGGGCCTCATCAGGGCACCTCCAAACTCCAAAAAAGGAAGG